TGAACAAGCCCAGCTCCCTCAGCCTTTCCTTGTAGGAGAGATGCTCCAGTCCCCTCACCATCCTTGTAGCCCCTCTGGGCACGCAGCGGTGAAGCACACAGTTTTTCCACCTGAAAATTAGGTCTGTAAGTGGATGTCGTCATCTTCAGAAAGAGGAGCGCAAGAAGTTGAAGTGACCGACCTCCTCATCTGCCCCGTAAGAGTTCCGGCCGCTCCCCGCGAGGAGGGGTCGCTGGTGAAGCGCAGCAGCCGTTGTTCAGGGAGTTTGCGTTCAGGCGGCCGCCCTGGCGGTGTGCCGATGACGTCATTACAGTGCGGTTTAACAGAACGGCTTGGTCCAGACCAGCGGGCACAGGTCCCGCTCCTTTCCGTCACGCTCCTGACCCCAGGCCCCCTCACCGGGCTCTGTTCCCGCTGCTCGCCTTGGCGCTGGCTTGGGAACTCGTCGCACGCTCAGCGATTCAGCTTGCTGGCTCAGCAGCGACAGCAATTAAAAATGCGTTTGGCATTTTTTTCTGTGCTGGGTTGGTGAGTTGAACGAACTTAATTATGAGTGAGTGCAAAGGGAAACATTTTGGGGGGGGGAATAGCCAGAAGGGATGGAGCTGCTTCTGATCCCGTGGCTGTTTGTTTGACTCAGCTGCCAAGTAACACTGTGCCAGTGGGATGCAGTGAGCAGGTCTGAGAGCGCACACTGCTGCATGTTTTAATTCTTCTTTTCCCCCTTCTCCCACCTTAGATGGGCTGTGGTGCTCTGCAGACCCTGCTGTGAGCTGATTTAACACACTAAAGCAATGCAAAAGTAAACGAGCAAAAATAATATTCTCCCGTTTTCGTGTCCGGAGAGCGCCGTGGCCCAGAGGAGGGAGAGAGCGGGTCGTGTGGCTGGGGGTGATGCAGAGAGCAGGAGGGGTGGGGGTGACCCAAGAAAGAGTTTTCCTCTTGGTAGCAGCGAGTCGTTACATGGTGTCCTCTTCTCAAAGCCTGCCTCCAGCCCGAGCTGTGTGATCTGCTGCGAGGTCGGCTGGTCCCTCTGACTGAGTTCAGCTGGTAACAAAATCAGAACGTTAGCGGCTTATCGCTCCCCTTAGATTTAGCTGCAGTCTGCTGGGCAAGAGGAGTTAAATAACAGCTCTAAAATTAAAAAGGCCCTTTCAGATTTTCTCCTGGAAGCTGAAGCCACTTGACAAGTTAATCTGGTAAGCAGACAGGAAAGAAACAAAACTTTGGAAACAAACAGGGAGCCTCGAGCCAATTTCATATTGCTGGCGTCACATCTCCACTTAGTCTGGAGCGTTCTGTACAATAAAGGGAGAAACAGGTTTAAAAGCATATTCATGAAAAATCAGTAGCTTGTTAGGAGTAAAATTTTATTCTGTGTGTTTGAAGCTGTATTCTTTAATTCATTAAGCCTTTGGGGATTTACTTACCATTAAGCAGTATAGGAAAATGCACAGAAAAAAATGTTAAAATAGGTTTATTCTTTAATAGATAAAAGCCTGTTATAACTATTTAAACAACTTTTGATATAGATACACGTGCTAGCTGCAGAGCCTCTTTCTACGGAGGAGTCCTGCCAGAGCAGCTGAGGGTATCGGGTATTAAAACTGACCGGATCCTTTCAACACCCCTGTGAAGGTGGGAAACTGTAGCGAGCCCCGATGGGAAGCCTCAACTCTTTGCAAACTGCGTTGCCCACAGTCCCTCCCATTCTGACGTGAGCTAGGAGCCGAGTCCGTATTTCTCCAATCACCATCCAGGTTATGATGAATTAAACTGCTAATGTGAATAGACTTGTTTTATCAGCCTCTTGCCACGGCTTTCTCACTACTGCTTCTCTTGGTCAGTGACTTGGAATGAATGGAATTATTGTTGATGTACACATGCTCCGAAATCATGGAAGCTTTGAAAGCAAAATGAATACGTGTAACAGGTCATGGTTTGCTTCCACCTATGCAGATTGCCAGGAGGTGAATTACAGGGGTAGCCTTTGGAACAGCAGTAGGTATCCTGAAATCTGGGGTTGCCTGAAGAAGCATGAGCACCCTTCTGGAACATTTGCAGTGTAACAGGCCAGTATCTGGGTACAGTCCTGTTCCAAACCTGGTGCTTCAGAAGCAACAGGTGCAAGGGATGAGATCAGCTGAATTTTAATTCGCTGCAGTGGTGAAAGAGTCGATGGCCCCATGCATCCACCCTGCTCCTCTAGGACAGATTATTGCCCCCAGAGCAGGGCATATGTCTGTAGCACTTCCCCTTCTGTGGTGGTTTAACCCCAGCTGACAACTAAGCACCACACAGCCGCTCGCTCACTCCCCACCCGGCAAGATCAGGGAGAGAATTAGAGGGGTAAAAGTGAGAAAACTCGAGGGCTGAGATACGGACAGTTTAACAGGTAAAGCAACAGCTGTGTGCGCAAGCAAAGCAAAAGAAGGGATTTATTCCGTGCTTCCCACCGGCAGGCAGGTGTGCAGCCATCCCCAGGAAAGCAGGGCTCCCATCACGCGTAACGGGTACTTGGGAAGATAAATGCCATCACTCCGAATGTCCCCCCATTCCTCCTTCTTCACCCAGCTCTTATTGCTGAGCATGACATCATATGGCATGGAAAATCCCTTTGGTCAGTTGGGGTCAGCTGTCCCGGCTGTGCCCCCTCCCAGCTTCTTGTGCACCCCCAGCCTACTCGCTAGTGGGGTGGCGTGAGCAGCAGGAAAGGCCTGGACTCTGTGCAAGCACTGCTCAGCAGTGACTAACACAGCCCCGTGCTATCAACACTGTGTTCAGCACAAACCCAAAACACAGCCTCGTACCTGCTACTATGAAGAAAATTAACTCTGTCCCAGCCAAAACCAGGACACCCTCGAACCCAAGCGCCTCTACTGAAATCTCCTATGAAGGAGATTTCGCCTCCTATGGGGCGATTACGCGAGGCTGAGGTGTCCAGGGACCAGACGTGCATCCTGGTCAGCTGCAGCCATCGAAGTTTCTTTCAACACCATGGCAAAATCTGCTCGATGTTGCTGGCCAGACCTACCGTAGGAACAAGCAGGAAT